TATATGAATGAATTCACAAACACGCATTTGGAGGTAAGCACTTTCATCTCACGACATATCAGCCAGGTTAACCGAAGCGAAACAGGCCGAAACAATCGCAACAGACTCTTTAGGCAGTGTACAAGCCATCAATGACACATTGGCACAAGACGTACAGAAATGCCACAGACAACTCAAGCTCACAGCCAAGCAACTGGCCCTCGCTCAGCTGGATACTGACCGACAGGTGTGTTGGTTATGGTTGTACTGTTGGTGATGTGTGTCTGATATGGTTGTACTGTTGGTCAGGTGTATACGATTGTGTCGTATATATATAGACAGATGTGTTATTTATGGTTGTACTGTTGGTCAGGTGTGTCTGATGTGGTTAAACTGTTTGTCAGGTGTATGTGATTCGGTCGTATATATATAGACAGGTGTGTTGGATATAGTTGTACTGTTGGTGAGGTGTGTCTGATGTGGTTGTACTGTAGGTCAATGTGTATGTGATTGGGTCGTATATATATATAAACAGGTGTGTTGGTTATGGTTGTACTGTTGGTCAGGTGTATGTGATTTGGTCGTATCTATATATAGACAGGTGTGTTGGTTATGGTTGTACTGTTGGTTAGGTGTATGTGATTGGGTCGTGTATATATAGACAGGTGTGTTGGTGCTAATCGGATGTTTTTCAGAGGGAATAAACCAGGTGCAGTTTGCGGGTGGCTTAGAGTGCCCCCTGTCGGGGTTTCTGCGTTTAAGTCTGCCTAGTTATAACTATCTCTTTTTCTTTTTTTCTTTTTTGAGATTTCCCGGATACTTTCACAGGTAGACATACTCACCAGTCAGATGAAGACATGCGTACCTGTATATGTACTTTGCATATGCCTAAGTGCACGGCACCAATGTATTTAAAGTGTGTTTCGAACGAAGCGACGTCATACCCCAGACTAGAGCCATCGATTCACTCCTACTATATACATGAGTGTCTATACCTACACACTCCCAGCTGAATAGCAACCCCTCGATCTCCTGCAGAACTACTTGATTGCCACACTTGGCCATGTACACACACAGAACATACATGTCAATCTGTACAAACACGCTTGAAATTGAATCACAACCTCTCCACACCCACAGAGATAAGTAATCACCAAACATGGCCAGACGGAAGAAGCTAAAACCCTAAAAACCCTAAAACCACAGAGATACATAATCGCCAAACATGGCCAGACGGAAGAAGCGCTGCACCGCGAAGCATTGCAACTGACACAGGCAGTCGAGCAAATGACAACGGAGATTGCATTGCTGCGCGAAAAGTCGGCCACGTCGTATGAAACACAGGTATCGTCTTGTTTTTCCTCACTTTATATTTATTTATATATATATATATATATGTGTGTGTGTGTGTGTATAAATAAATAGATATATAGATAGATAGATATG